ATTTCGGCCTATAGTATAAAAGTCGTATATATTAGCCAAGAAAGCAACTAAAATAATTACATTAACATGTCATGCCTTACCGCTCTGCCCTGCATGGATGTAGGTGAATCGCTTTTCTGAATCACAAATGGCAACCATGTTCAACGAGTAGTTGTTTTTTCTGTCGATAAAGCGATCGCCACTGTCACCTGGCTTGAAGATTCGAACGAGCTTCCCATCCAAAGCACCGAGTACATTTGGGAGGTGAGTAGGTCCGACTTCAAATGTTGGTCCAAGCTCTCCATATTGAAACCCTTCAACGGTTGCCTTGATAGCTTCATTTCCGGTCGGCCATCGGATTATACCACCTTGACAGTCGGCCATTGCCTCCAAAAATCGCTTGGTAAAATTTCTGTAGGATCCATGCGATGTACCAAGCAAAGTTTCGGCCATACGGTAACTGACATGAGCATTGGCAAATCTCCAGATTATCAGGCCGACTTGGATGAACACAGGTGTGGCGTTTTGTGCCGTAAATTGATACAATCGATGTTGCGACAACATATTTATGAGGGCATTGAAAGTGGCTGGTTTCATACGATAATGCGATTTGAATCCACCTGGTCCATCTGTGTCCGGAAGAGCTGGATGCGTAACTTCCCAGTATGTCGTATTTTTAACACGATTGACGCGTTGCATAACACGGAAATGTAGCGGCGATGATACAGCTGACATGATATGATCAAGAGAAAAAATGGTTCGGTACATTGGCAAAACAGTGTTGATCATGGAGAGTTGGTTGATATCGTCGTCGTCATTATTCGCAAGAAAAAAAAAGACGTAGCCTTCAATCAAAAGAAGTAGGATGCTGATGATCGTTCTTCTGTGGACAATTTCTTGCTGGGAATCCATAATAATAGACAGAAGGTAGGATGAAGGATATAAAAAGTGCGAATAAAAGTTGAGTGGAACAAAACAAGAAGTATTACTCAAAGTCGCTGCATATATAGAAGATATTTTCTTATCGGTAATGTTCTTATCATTTCATGATATGTAGAACCATGGAATCGGTTCCGTCTAAACAACAAGTTGGTATATCTAATGTTATGTAAAATGGTATACTTGACCCTCCCGGGTATTGCTTGATAGATAATTAAATATCAAAGTAATATTTTCTCAGTCGCATGGACGTGTAACAAAAGATCCGAGACGATATCCTTTTTGGGAGTGCTGTGTCAACCAAGGGGTCGACACGGCAGTTTTGCTCTTCATTTCCTTATCAAGGATATGATATAAATTACACAAAAAAATCCTGTGTTCATTGTATCACTTTTATTCGACTCCCGAACAACGCGCTATTACTATTTCTAGGGTGTGTCGACGTTGACTCACGTTGCTTGAGAGTACCCTTAGCAAGCCCCCGGGAAAACGTTTAGCCGTTGGGAAAACCAATTAACTATCTATTTCCTTTTTAGGAAGTCACGTGATCTAAGCCACTTAGTAAGCCACTGAGCTACCGGGTAAATTCTTACAGTCACCCCTTGGGGGCTTAGTAAGTGGCTTAGATCACGTGACTTCCTAAAAAGGAAATAGACAGTTAATTGGTTTTCCCGATGGCTAAACGTTTTCCCAGGGGCTTGCTAAGTGGCTTAGATCACGTTACTTCCTAAAAAGGAAATAGACATTTAATGGGTTTTCCCGACGGCTAAACATTTTCCCAGGGGCTTGCTAAGTGGCTTAGATCTCGTGACTTCCTAAAAAGGAAATAGATAGTTAATTGGTTTTCCCGACAGCTAAACATTTTCCCGGGGGCTTACTAAGTGGCTTAGATCACGTGACTTCCTAAAAAGGAAATAGATAGGTAATTGGTTTTCCCGACGGCTAAACGTTTCCCCAGGCTACAGCAAAAGCAGATATGTATACTTAATTTTTCAAAATCTTTGCGTTGGTGAAGTGGTCTAACGCACTAGCCTTATATCCTACCTTTTGTAGAAGGCACGAGTTTAAAACCCCCTTTTGCCAAACTTTAGTATAAATGTTTTTTGAAAAACTGGTTTTTGCTATTATCCAACCAATTCTGATTATTTTCATATAAATAATATACCATCAGATGCAGCTTTTTTTCCTCGTTCCAATAAGTATAAAAGCATATATTTTTATATAGTAAGTCTATAGATGATCCCATTGCTTATACATTTATGGTATTATACTTTAGGAATTACTACGCACATGACAAAACTTGACCTCATGCACGACATTTTTTTTGGTAGCTTAGTATTCTGCAGTTGTTGTGTGCACCGTCTCTCGTACAGTTTGAAAGACTCTGTGTACAACAAAAAACTAACGTTGCGTACGACAATTTTCTTTGGCAGTTGTCGTACGTACTGTCTCTTGCACAATTTAAAAGACCCTGTGTACGACAGAACTACATACCCAGAGGAAACAAATCCTTTTTTGTATATAAATATTGATAAACTTTAAGAAACCATGATTTTATTGGATACAATTTTGGCCCGTTTTTAAAGGAGGTGAGCAGCCTCCCCCAAATCAACCTGGGAGACTTTTTTGGTGCGTCTTTGTTTGCATTTCTTGTACGAAAAGGTGTTTTGTGCACCCTCACCATCCATTTTCAGGTCTAGCCCCCAACTCTCTCGCATATTCAACACCCCCCTCCTGGAAGTGAGCACCCACCACGTACACGATCTGTCCAATCACAATTGGTTTCCGCTAATTAAGCTGCCAGTTTTACAATGTCTTTGTAATGAAAATGTAATTACGCAATCACAGAAAAATAATCTATTTGTAGTTGTAACAACACTTTACTGAAGAGGCATAAAATATATTAATTAACATTGAACAAAAACTGGCATATAAGAAAAGAAGCGAAAGACAAAAAATAGGATTTAGAGGGGCATAGAAAACGGACATAAGAATCATACAGAAAGAATATAAAAGGTGGTCATAAAACGCATAGAAAAATCATCCAGAAAGAATATAAAAGAGGTTCGTTAAAATGCATAGAAGAATAATCAACAAAGGGTATAGGAATGAGACATAGGTAACGTATTAAGAAGAGAAATGATATAAAGAAAAGATTGAAGGAATGGGTTTAGTAAATGATTTTTTCAAAGTTGTACGTCGTGTTTTTGAGCCACCAGCGAGTCCCAAACTTCGACTTATTGATGCTCAACGAGTCTCTCTGTAGCGCTCTCGTTATTGGACTTTGTGACATGTCAAAAACTTCGACAACAAGATCTTCGTCAGTGCTATTAACGACGAAATCATCGTGAGGTAACCGCACGATGATAAAATTGCTTGCGATGTCTTGAACGCAGCAATCAAAAATGCTTCGACTTTGCATTGACGCAGCTTCACCAGCAGCCAGAACAAAATCGTAAGCTTGAACATAGTACTCGTCGCCTTGTTTCGCCGTGATGACACCTAGTGTCAATCTACTCGTTTTGGAAGATGTATGGCGGATTATAGAACAAGGCAGCTAGGCCAACCTTAAGCTTCTTACTGCTATTTGTGTTGTCTGCCAGAACGAGGCCACTTTGTACCAACGCAGGATCATACTAAGAGATAACATCTGGACGGCAGGTTTCCCAAACTCCTGAAAAACAATCCATGAAACGACCACCTTCACATATATGACGTAGCATATATTCTTCTGCAAATTTCCTGGCCAAATCTCGTCCACCGTTCTGTATATTGGTGTGGCATAGAAAGAAAACGACACTTGGTGCAGCTTAATTGTGTATTAAAGTTGTGACAGTGATGAATAAGGGGGTATATAAATGACTTTTTCCGTGATTCTCACATTTTCTCTCTCTTTCACAATTTCTTCGGCTAAAATACAGTAAGTCTCAACGCGTCGAACTACTGAAAGAGGTCCTTGTCCTTATTTTGTGACCTTTCGCTCAAGTCAATCTTACTCAATTATCACCTGTTTACTTCTTGTGTATCTAGCTCTTTTACATTTATCTCATGTTAAGGTAATGGACGAAGTTGATATGTGTATTATTCCTAAGATGCCTTTTCTAATCAACTGTTTATACCATACAGAGCAATAGCTGATACTTGCCGTCTTATGTAGTCTGATAAGTGAGGTAAGCATACCCATTCCCTCCTTCATTATATCTACCTTCGTCGTGACCTGTATCCTAGCTAGAAGTATGACAGTAATAATAGTAGTAGTAGTAGTCGCGTCCTTAGTTCTATTTCTCTTTCATACTGTGTACTTTTTTCAAATGTCGTTTTTACAAATAAAAAATTTTTATTCTGAACTGAAAAATCTGAACGCCCTCTTGCTTGCTTGCTTGTTTGTTTACGCCTATTGAAACGATTGTTGAAGCTTTCTCTCGATCCCCCAATATGCATAACCCCCACTCCCCCCACCTTGTTAGATGCTCAACCGTAAAAGGCAATTTTTTGAATCCTTCATTGTTTATAAACAAATCTGCACAAAAAACCTCTGGGTGTGTATGATGATATATACCGTGTAACGTGGAATGTTTACATACCGTGTATCCAAATGGCTAGCAAACAACTTATTTGTGCCAACATAAGTACTATAATATAGTGAAGCACAAGCAAGAAGATTTCTAAGTAAGCAGAAAAAAACGTAGCTAAGACTATAGAAAAGTGAGTAGACGGTGCACCAAGCTTTTTCACCATTTTAATATCTATGACGGTGGTATTGGCTGCAAAGACATATCCTGTATTTCGTGTTCTAAAACTTGCTAGAGCTAGGGCTGTCATATAATTCTATTCAGTTAAAATTTTGACGGTCAATGTAATATTCGACGTATATATAATGTAAGATGATAATAATGTGTACACCAAATAGTTGAATATTTGGAGGGTGAAGAACAAAACATGTAGTAAGAAATAAGGGATCAGGAAAATAGGTTTTGATATGATTGTAAAGAACAATTAATCCGGAGACAAGGCACAAGAGCTTAAATATGAGACAAGAAGAGCATAAATCGTCGAGTACGATGAGGTAAACGACATTTGACACAAAAAAAAGTGCAGAACTGCATAAGGGGTTATGATTCGTGTTGCTTTTTATAATCATTCATCACTGCTTTCACTTTCATCCGAATCTATGGTGGGATTGATGGTACTGCCGAATTTAGCACTCTTTTTCATGATATCCACTGCGTCGTCGTAAGAAACATTCTTATCTTCTTGGATAAGTCGTGCAGCTATCTCTGGAACAAGAATCTGCTGAACAAACTGAAGTGGTGGCATCGGGGCTGTATTTGCTGCTGTCAGGTGGTTCGATTTCAATAGTTCTTTCGTCAAACAATCCATAATGATTTGCATTCCACGGGGTCCATATAATCAGGCTGTTTTAAACAATGATTTAGTAAGTTATTTTATGAGTGATAGCTTTGTACTTACTAAAGATTTTTCAGCCCTTGCCATTAGTACGAATATGGATCGTGCAACACTTCGGCTATATTGGCTGTAGAATTCGGTTTCTATCGATTTGAATGTGCTTTCGGTTTTGCTGACTATGATATCTTGTATATCTGGTACATAATTCATTACACGTAAAGGCAAGGTCACAAAATCGATATGAGCTGGGTAACCTTAGGTGATTCCTTCTGGTCTGATCAACATTTCTTTCCTATGAATGCTGCAGAAGTTGTATTGCTCAGTAAAGCAAACTGGTCTGGGTTTAATCTGTGCTTCATTGAAGCAGCGGCGACAAGACGTTGAAAGTTCTTTAATGCGGCGTTCGTCTTGTTTCGTATGCTTCTCTTCTTTTTGTATATATTCATCGTACTGCTTCTGTATAGCAGGAGGTAACGGTAATAGCAGGTATGTTTGACAATGGGGACATGCTATTGCACCATGATCTAGATGGTATAACAGATGTGTTCAGAGTTACTAGAATACAAAGATACGGAGCGGCAAGTTATAGGTACCATGATGATCGCCCCACATATCAATATTGCAATCAGATTCATCTAAAATCAGAATGGGCGACGCTTGTCTTCTTTTTTCTATGCTGATTGCTGTTGAATCTTGTTCCACTGTTTTTTTGATATGTAGGTACCTCCAAAACGTTTTGTGATCGTGACCTAGGTTGATCTCGTTCTATTGCTGCTTATGTCGCTGTGATATCGGGGGCCATCGCATTTTAACAGATGATCGCAGCAAGACCGGCTCCTAATGATTCCCATTCATGAAATGCCATAACGAACGGCAGGAGACTATATCGTTTGCCCAAAAGTACAGAGTATGGCAATGTCAGCAACGGCGGATGATATTTCGCCCATGGACCAGATGTATAGCAAGCAATCAGCCACTCCAAAGCAA